TGAAATAAAATGTTCCGTAAGCCGTACTTTTTCATCTTGAATAGCTTTTAGTTCTTTTGAGCTCAATGTTATTTTACGATTACTGGCACGTCCAACAGGAGCCTCACCTGTCGCCGACTGTTTTACACTGCTTACCATTATCTCAATAAGAGTGGATTCTTGCTTATTATCCAATACCTCTTCGTTAATGCCGGGTTCTTCAAGCAGTAAATCAGTCATACATTCCCAATCCTTGACCATGGCATTATTGTCTATGAAAGAGTCCACCAGGTAAGCGCCATGTTCATGTAATTCTGACTCAATAAAGAACTGCACTAAATCCCGTATCAAAGGTGTATTGGGTAGACGTATTTTTCCGCGTCTAGTTTTGGTTTCCTCCATATCCGAAGTTAAATGGAAAAGACGTACATTCAAAAATTCTGCTGCAGCTTGCGCTACGCCGCGATGTGATGAATAAACAAGTTCATATACAATTTCACAATCTTTATCTGCCAATATGTCAGGATGTATTCTAAAAAGTTRGTTTGCATTCATAAAATAAATAATTCAATAACAAAATAAAAAATGTACTTTAAAATACTGATAACCAATTTCACTGCATGAACTGCCACTTCAAATTCTTTATCCAATGTCATGGCAACAATTCGGTCTTTAAATTTTGATGTAAAGAGCTCCAATTTTCCTTTCAATTCTTCTTTATCATACAAAGGTAGCAGAGCTTGTAAGCAACGAAGACGAACTTCACCAACTTTGTCATGCAATGTCCAACCGATATATTTCAAATAAGAATCATCCAAAAAATTTTGCGGATAGTTCTCCATCCATACTCCAATTTCCGCCATACAAATCGCCCGAATATCTGGTAAAGTATCCCTAAGAAAATTAAAAGGAATTAAAAATTAAGTTAATAATTTTAAAATTATTACTTCATAAGTACCTATAACGATGCACGAAAACGGACTTRAACATGTAAGTCAACATATTTTTAATTTCGTCCATATTCTCTTCAAGCTCAGCACGTTTAGTCATCAAAGACTCCAGCCGGTCAGTTGCCCGACGGTCTCGGGACTAAAAAGATTTTATTTTAATAACGTTTTTAATATGTTTAATTACAAATACTTCGTACCTTAACACGTTCGGCTTCATATTGTTTAGCAGCATTTTCAAAGTTATTAGATACTAGTAACGCCACATCCACCAAAGCTGTCATTAACTTCATGGCTGCCAAAGTTGCCGTATGACGGAAAGCGCGCACTTGGGAATCAGACAGGCCCGTCAAAAGCGATATTACGTTATCCATAAGAAATTGATCATATATAATGGAATATTGACATTGTTTAACCAAAGTTTGAACAAAATCACAAAAATTCATTTTAAATTTCTTCCATTGTTGGCCAGGCATTATTAGCGGATATTCTCCACTTTCCTATTGRATTGAAATAAAATGAAATTAAAATAATAAACTAATAATGTATTCCTGTAACCTCGTCAAACTCCTCAGTCATTTTTCGAATCACCGCAGTATGTTCCATTGGATGGGGCATATCTTCAGATATTTTACCCTTACAACCACTCGCGTTTATGAAAAATTGCATTAGAGCTATAAGTGCAGAATCACGGTTTTCTTTGTATTTTTCGATCCAATCATCAACAATACTCTGAAAAAAATTTTTAATTAACCCAGTATTCCAATTTGTATTGTTTTCACTTACCGCTATAGCTGACTTTGAATGTCGAACAATGAAGTACAAACTGTTTTCATCAGTAGTGACATCTCTTTCCATATCCACCCTCTCCTGTTCCTTCTCAATATGCTCTTTTCTTGGTCTATCAACTCGTTCACGTCGTTCACCAGGAGGTTTACGGGGACCCGGTTGCTTTCTTTTGCGGGCAACCGGTGCGAAAAAGTCGTCTTCATCGTCATCTATTATTGGCGGTTTATCGCGGATTCCCCCTCTGGCGCGGAGACGAGTCATTCTTTTCATTGGACTATCTCCATCAGAAGTACTTTCATTTAGCCCTTCTCTACAATTTTAAAAATTCTTCATGAATGTACAGTCGAACCAACTTCAAACTAATGATATTTACCCATGTTCCTCGTACTCTGGAGGCGGATCATTCATTCGAATTCGCTTCCCACCTCGTCTTGCCATCATAATATTAGGATTTTCAATCAATATACTAATCTTTCAACTATCTTAATTTATATTTTATTGTTACACACAACACAATTCTCTTTATGTACCTACGATGCATTCTAGATACATTCAGATTAAGCGTTATAGGGTTGATAGTAGTATATCGATAGACCGAGTTAAAAAACAAATCAAAATTCAATTTTACGATTTATATTTTAGCTGGAATATCAAATTCGCTATGTTATCAAATTAGTTAAATTAGTAAAMTAAATAAAATTAAATGTTTAATGTGTTATAAAGATTCCGAAACTTTCTATTCAAGATGACATTTATAAAAATTAATCTTTGAAAGTTGGTACGTTTTCGCTACCTGYTATTTCACTAGAAAAATATTTAAAATCTGCACTAAAACTTGTCAGCTACCTTTATAAGGAAATATCTAAGTTCAACTTAAAACAAAAAATCTTTAAAAGTAGGTAATTTCAATTTCGTGCTGCTAAGATGTGCATATCGATCGATTTACTTTCATAGGCGTTGCCAATTTGACTTATGTTTTGGCGCCAAATAGAGTGACAAACAAACAAAACATATGTATAGTTTCTGCTTTGGAATTTTTCTTTCTCGTACTCTTCATTTTGCTACTATTATTTATTAAACACAAGTTTGAAAATGCATTCTTTGAGCTTAAATATTCTGCCAGAGCACTTAAAAAGTGAGGAAGGCAGTTTATTCATTGCATCTTTACAGGATCCGAAGGGGTGGAGTGGAATTCCGTTGCTTAACTACACCCCATTGCATGACTTGAAAGACATGAGTATTGTGAGGTTTAGAGGAATGATTCAAGACATGCTAGACCCCGAAATGTACTTGGAACGTTATGAAATTGTTAAAGAAGATAATACTTGTAGAGTCCAAGATGGTAAATTTCGAGACTGTTTATTGTTAAATGAAGGCGAACGTGTAAATCATGATGCTAAGGAAAATGTTCACGGTGAGCGTCGTACCTTCTTTGTTATTTCTATACCCGGTTTAAATAACTGGTGCCAAGAATATGAATCTCTGTGTAGTCGTAACAATTTTCCAAAGCCAGCGGGAACGGATAATACAGCAGGTAAGAAGCGTTCCGCACCTATGGAAGAACATAATATGCATGTCGAAATCGATACAAYTGCCCGACCTGCTGCTGATGGTGATAATAATAAGCGGCAACGTACAGGGGAAAAGCTAAATAATGCTTTTGACAGCGACGCAGTTAATAAAACCTCAAATTCAGTAATTGGTATGGAATACCACCTAAACTCGCCAATTCCTAGTCGCCCCAGTAAAGCTTGTATGGTTAAAATATACAACGACTTCGAAAAGTACAAATTAAACACTATTATTGATGTGGTTGGTTTTCTCTCGGTGAATCCAGCATTGGACGCCACAACAATGGACGTAGATGCGTATGATAATGTAAATGAGATACAAGCACAAAACCCACCGCCTTCATTAATACCACGACTTCATGCAATAGCGGTACATTGCTTACCACATCCAAATCCTTTATTGGATGAGAGATTGTTGTCAAATTCGCAGACATGTATAGACTCGCACGGTTTCGACATGTTATCTGTAGGCAATGAATTCCGAACATTCTTAAAGTTATGCCTTTTCAATGACAATTTAGCTGCGGAATATCTCTTATCACATTTAATATCTACAGTGTAAGTAGTACTTTGTAAATAAAAATTTTATAAATATTTACTAGTAAATACATATGTATATTTACTTATTCACAGCTATTGCAGAGCAGAATCTCGATGTTTGGGAAGGTTTCTCTTAAATATCTTTAATTTACCACAGAATCGTATTTCAAATTATACGAAACAATTGTACGAGCTATTGGACTTGACAATACCAGCCAGCCATTATATTACAATGACAGCGGAGACAATGAACGAATCAACTTTTGGACCAAAGTAAGTCTCCGTAGTTATAAGCGAAATTTATTTATTTTCTTATAACACTTATAGAAAGGATTATGAAACCAACAAGTTAGTATCAGGAATGCTACAGCTTGCCCCACAAACGCACCTCGTGATAGATGAGACATTTACTAAATCTGATCGCCTTAACAGCAATGGCATTTTGTCTATGCAAGTTCTTGGACATGTTATGACGCATCAGGAGTTGAAATGTAATTTCCAGTATTATGAAATTGATTATGAAGTCGATATTCCAATATTGTGTTTCAGTGAAAGGAAAAGTATTTTGCCGGTAAGTTTTCTTTTTAAATACATATGCATATTACTAAGAATGTAATTACAAATATTTGCTTATAGTACGATGCATTTGTACCAATCGAGTATGATGACCAATCTATTGAAGTTATTGAGGAGTCGCTCAAAGCAGCTAGGCATTATTTGAATCCAACTCGATTAAATCAATTTAGACGGTTTCTGACTACGGCTAAACTCACTGAATTTAATGTGAATCCRGCTGAGAGCGAAATGATTCAAAATGATTTTGTAGAAATGCGTAAAAATAAAAGCATTCGTGATGCCGAAGAGTTACATCATTTGTTGGTATTAGCTCGGTTATTGGCTGTTGCACGAGGCAAAAATGTGCTTGACAAGGATGCATGGGAACTAGCCAAGCAAATGGAGTCGACTCGTCAGCAAAGATTTGCCAATAGAGAAGGAAGTCACTAATTAAAATTGGTTAATTAAAATGAAATTTCGACGGCTACTGCTTAAGGAATCATGTTTCACTTGTTTTAAAATTGAATAAATTCATTACACATATTTTTGTTTACTTCAAAAAATCTATTATTTTTTCTAAACGTAAAAAATTAAAATCATTAGTTATTTTTTCTATTATTTTTATTTATTTTAATATTAGCAACGTATGGTCAAAAGTATCAAATCTTAAAGGAGTTGATGAAGTGCTGCGCAGGGTTGACGCGTAGTAACATACCTGAAATTAAAAATAAATAAATATGATTAATATGTTAAAAAATATATTTAAATGAATTGAGTAAATTGTTCAGAAAAAATAATTTGCGTTGGATTATGGGACGAATTCTCTTCATTGAAAATCAAAGCGAGCTGGGTCAGAGTRTCATCATATAAGTAGGTTTTACAAAATTCTAAATTTATGCTTACCTTATAATTGAATAGGCAACAGCAAGTTCATCTGTAAAACAAAAGAAGGCCGTTACTTTATAGAAATAGCAAAATAATAATTACATTATGAGTTTGCAGTTATGTTTCAGTTTGGATGTAGTCATTTATAAGTAAAATGAAGGGGAATCCGAACATATCTCATCATAAATGATATGATATAAATGCATATTTTTTTATTTTTGATTACTTACATTTCCAGTGMAATCATTTTGCCCTCATCTGTAAAGAATATAAAGATAATTAATATACTTGTCTTTATGGCTTCGAAGAATAAGAAAACTTAGTAATATATCAGTAAATATATTTTTGCGTTGGATATTGGGACAGTTCTCTTCATGGTGTATCGAAGCGAGCTGGGTCAAAGTTTCATCATTTAGGAGCACTTTAGCCCCTATTACGGTTTGCAATTGTTTTAATTTTTCGTTTAAATAATTTCAACAACATCGATGGAAATTAGTTGTAATTCGTAATTTCGAAAAGAGTGGTGGATTTGAAGTATAATTATTTTAACTTCAATTCCACTGAATGCAACTACAAACCGTAATTGGGTATGAATACACATTGGTGGCCTCTTAACTACAGATTTTTTTCACAAACACTGTCTAAACTGTGTTGTTGTCGTTTAGTCAAAAATTTTTTTGTCGAAAACCAGTCTTATAAAATTTTCGTCACTAACTAAAATAGTGTCATATCTTATGGAATCTTTCATTATTGGCCACCACTGTACATAAAAAAAAAAAATTCTCCCACTTACCTTCATATTTAAACAAGCTGATCATTTTAAAGCGGCGTCGAGATAAGTGCCCAGATTGTATTAAGTTGACAGTCCCACATTAACAGCTGKAAAAACATCAATATCGTTAACTTTTAGGTAAACAAAAAGAAAAAAAAAAATAATCTTAAATCTAAAGTTATAGAATCAGAGAGGATTTAGTCATTTAACAGTCAAATGATGGGGAATCCGAAAACATCTCATCATATAATAAAAGGAATTCTATGCTTCTTTAATTAAAGTATATATAATAACATATTTTAATACCTGATTTTTATCAAAAAGTTATTTCCTTCCTCAGCATTTTATAAAAACAATTGAGCTACAAAACAGAAAAATATTCATTAAAAACAAATATAAGCTATGGACTAAAATTCATAAGCATAAGAAAATCAGTGATTTATATTTGCGTTGGATAAGGAACAGTTTTCTTCAATTAATTTCAAAGCGAGCTGGGTAAGTTGTCATCATTTTAATAATATCATATCAAAACAAGTGCTATAATTACCTCTTCTTCATTATTGTGGCTTCAAAAACATGGACAATAATTTTTGGAAACATGTGAGACATAATTTCGTTTCGATTATATGATTACAAAGTCACGACTGAAAGTAAAATAGATAATATATTTTTACTTTTGAAGTCAACAAACAAGCATTTAAAGAAATGAAATAACCAATCAGTTCTACTATCTATTTTTAGTAAAACTTYCATAAATTTTTCAAGTTACATTAAAAGTTGTCATCAATTTAAACATTTACTTAGAAATCTGTAAATTTTTAGAATTAACTTACTAATCATAAGAAACCAAATGAGTGGCAAGGTGAATTCCTAATACAGAAAGCTGTAATATAGAAAAATATATGTAATATTTTTTTTTTTTTTACTCAAAACAATAATATTATTTAAATTGTAATCAGAATTAGGTTTACATCATTATCTTCAAGAGTAGCAAATAATATGAAAACATCATTTTCTTCGAGTAGAACAAAATAAAAACTAGATAATACGAACCTTTATCCACGTATATACCATTGAGCAATAAACGGTGCATATCTAACGGAAATCGTATGCCTAAATCCTAAAATGAAAGAAATAAAATAAATTTATAGATATATATAAAAATATAAAAATCTAATTAGGATTTATTGTGAAACTGAATCAGAATACATTTACATCAAAGTACTTTTTCAAGAGTAGCAAATAATTTGAAARCATCATTATTTCACAATATAAACTTAGACTTTATTAAATAATTTTTACTTACATTGGAAATATTTGTGATGCTCCACCATGCACACCAAACCACTGAAAAAAGATTGTTTGACATTAATAATTGATCATCGAAGTAAAGTTTTTTAGAATTTGTATGAAATCAGTTTAACTTTGACATCATAAATTTACATTCAGCGACGAAAAATATTAACATCATTATCTTATTTCATACACATTTTAGAATATAAGACACTAATTTATTTACCTTCGTAATATTAGTAAACTGCACATAAGGTTTCCATTTTGAAATCAGGACTTATTGCTGCAAAGAAAGAACAAAAACGAAACGAAACGACTTCCCTTATACTATACACTTAAAAAAAATTAAAACAAACTGAGTCTTAAGTTTTTTCGGCAAAACTCCTATGTGCGAGTTTTGGCTTTTCTTTCCTTTGTATCTTCTACATTATAAAGTGTATGTTGTTTAATTAATTATTATATTAAACAGATTCCTGTACTGGAGGTTCATAACCTTCCGGTCTTTCGACAACAGCGCCTTCCGAAGAAACAACAGCATCAGTACCTTTGCCACCGCCATCACCGTGTAATTCTAACAATTTGGACAGATCGAAACGCGGCTTCTTCAAAACCTTTACTTTACGAATGTAAACATCATGCAAAGGATAAATGCGTTGGCACTTCTTCTCAATGTCCTTAGCAATGGAGTCAAGTGCTAGCTTGTTCACCAACTGCTTCAAGTCAGCGTTGGTTACATCGTTGGTAATGATTTCAGTCATCTTTGAGCGAATATTACGAACTTGAGACTGTTGAGCGTAACAAGTTTTGCGCTGTGATTGTTGATCCTTAGCAGTAAAACCAATACAGAAAACGCGTAGCATGTAACCATCAGTGGTCTTAGCTTCGACAATGGCTTCAATAAGTGTCTGCCACTTCTTTACCATGGACCTAAATGAGAATAACATATTAATGATATATAAAGTTGATGCTTTTTATTTATACTTGAAACTAAATATTAGATATTACAGCTAATATAAATGTTTACAAACTAATCCCTAATTGGGAATGTAAGTAACAGTTCCCCAGGGTGCCGTTTGAAGTTTTAATCTTGGAGCATCGTAGAGACAAAACATATAGTTGTGAAATATTTTGTCTGAATTATACGTCCGTTGTTTGCAGAATACAAATATAGCATATCAGTTTTCTTCCCATTAATAAGAATAGGAACTTAAAATGAAGACTGAACCATTTTGTATACATGTATGTGCAATTATGTTTTGCTAACTAATAATCAATAAACACTTTTCACTTATTATCGTACCTGTACTTGTCTGTAGTCAAATCCATACCGTGGAAGTTGCAGAGCACATTGCGGTCCTGAACATCCTCAGCAATCAAACGGAACTTACGGAAAGAACGATCCGAATCGTTGTCGTTTTGCAAATCAGCTAATGATACCTCGAACACACGACCCTTCAAGTAGTCAGARGCGATTCTCTGACCCTGGGTACGGTTAACCAAAGTTTTGCCAATCTGGCGGGTCACGAACATGTTTGGTGCTTTTACATCGTACCAATCTTTGCGTGAGAAGGGATCTACAACCTTCTTCTTGCCACCTTTTTTACCTCCTTTCGAGAGACCCTTATTTTTACCGACCGCCATCTTCAGAGTTCAAAGCGGAAAAAGATCGAATCACGTTGACGCAGTAATGTCAAAAGAAGGAAACGCGACATGTCAACCACTGAAATGTAACCAAATCCAATGCTGCCASCAAATTGGATATTATATTTCATTATTTTAAATTAGATAAATATTTTCACACTGAWATATAATTTTAATGAATATACCACTAATTTATGTCTTCTCAATTTTTAAAATGTCTTTTTATAAACATTACTCTTTTATTATAGGAAGCTAATAATAATAATAAAGAGCATTTTATATAATCTCAAAACATATCGTGGTATTAAAAATTTTAATGTATTTTGTAAGATTAGGCAAGGTGTACAGCAGTTTCAGTTGAGTAGTAAACTCTGACAAATAGTAAATTGACATTYTCGATTTTAGACAGAGAACAGAGAACGTCAAAGATGGGTAGAAAAGAACGTCAACATTTTGTGTATACGAAAATAACGAAAGTAAAATGAAAATAAATAATCGTAGTTTCTGAAAGAATAAAATAAATTAACAAGTTTCTCTCGAAAAAACAGTGTAGAGCTTCTTTTTGCATATTTACATTTCCTTTCCATCTGTAAATTGCTCTGTTAGCCTCCAAAACATGTCTCAAAGTGCGGTGCCAGTACAACGACGAGGTGGATCTTCGGAAACACCTAGATTTGGGGATGCTACAGAATGGGAGGCTCGAGAAGTAAATGAAAACTTTTTTACACATTAAAATCATAAATTAAAGGTACATATGAGTAAAAAAATTCTAATTTGATTCAGGCTCAGAGGCAACGGGAGTTGGATGAAGCACGAGCGCGCGCTGCTCAAATGGAAAAGACGATGAAGTGGTGGTCAGATTGTACGGCTAATTGGCGTGAAAAATGGAGTAAGGTATATACACATGATATTTCCATTATAACTTGTAGCTACGAGTCATAGTAATTTAGAAATAAGAACTTGTTTAATCGATATTCATAGACATTTTGTATTATTTGATTATTGTGAGCAGGTTCGAACAGAACGGAATAAAGCAAGGGAAGAATCTAAGCAGTTGCGAGCCAATCTCGACATATCTATGAAAGAAGCTAATTCTTATAAGCGGGAGAAAAATGATCTCGAGGTACAAATTTCTCAACTTAAGAAAGAAATGGAAAAGGTTCACACGTTAATGATGAAACATGCCGATCAATTTCATAAAACAGGGTAAGTATTTATATAGTAAATTCTTATTTACTGATATAAAACGTAATAATCTATTAGAATGTGTGATGCTTCTGAAGATACTGAAGCAAATGGGCGTGATACTAATTGCTCACCGGATATTTCATCTGATGGCTTAAAAAATGTGAACAGTGAAGACGGATTGGTAATTTTTGATAGACATACATACATTGTATACAAATTAAATCTTGCAGGTTACTAAGACGATTTGTAATGATATGAAAGATTTGGACATTGAAGAATTTGTTCTTAAAGGTGCCGTAACAAAAAATGTTAACGAAATGGGTAAGTTTTTTAAATTTTGAAAAGAATTGGTACAGTAAAGACAATATTGACAGATGAAGTATCAGCTGAAGAAAAGCGTTTAATACAACAATTATCAAAAGACGATTTTRACGAGGAATATTTGCTTCAGAAGATTTCAATGCTTCAATTGCGTTTAGATGAAGCACAAAAGACTGTGCAAGCAGAAAGAGAGTGAGTATTTTCAATGTATATATACATATATATGAATTACAATTATTTTAAAAATCTGTTAAATAATTCTTATAATAACACTTAAGGTTTAAGAGAAATTAATATTGACACTTTAAATTAGGTTTTATAACTTCATTTGAATTTTATTATATAAATAACTTTATGTAACCATCTGTCAATTCATTTTACGTACAAAAAAGATACAACAGTTTGTGTATTTTCAGGGAGAAAAATATCCTACATAAAACAATCGAAAAGTTAACATTGGAAATACARGAAGTACGTGATCGCCAGGAGGAGCTCCGCTTAGCTAAACAGGTGAGCAACACATTGCGCTACAATAAGCTGGTGACAAGTTTCGCATGAAATATAAAATATCATATATGATAGTATTAATATTTGTTTTCTGGATTGCGCTATTCAAAATGTMTAATTTTGGCACGTTCGTATATTGGTTTTATTTCGCGGAAAGGTAGACAAATAGATGGTATGTGTTTAAAGGTTACCTAGTTACCTAGTGTGACTGAATCGACTATATATTTTAGGTATTTGACTATCTATTTAAAATAGTTTTATTCCCGCTTTTTTCATTACTTTATGTTCGAAAAAGTTGATAAATGAAGACTTTCAGCTAACTGGACCATAACTATTTAATTATTAACTGAATAATATGATAATTTTACAGGAAGCTGTTCGAGAATTGCTGACCCTACAAGAACAACATCGCGCTGAAATGCGTATAATAAATAACTCATTGCATGAAGAAACATCATCACGGGAAAACCTCGAACGGCGCTTGGCAGAACTGCGTACTGAAGTGAGTATTTAGTCTTAACTCTAAGATATTTATTAAAATTAATTTCCGCCTTATTTTTTCAGTTGGAACGTCTTCAGGCTGAAAATGCATCAGAATGGGGAAAGAGAGAACGTCTCGAAACAGAAAAGCTCGCTTTGGAACGCGACAACAAAAAATTGCGAGCTGAAGTACGCGACTATCAAGAGCGTTCTGACCGCAAAGGTCGTCCAATGCAGGCGAATGATGTTGAAGTACGTGCACTGCAACAGGAACTTGCCGATCGCAATAAAGAAATAAGCGAGATTAAATTATCACATTCYAAATTGAAGAAACTGTTAGCCGAAACAAATACAGAGTTAGGACAYGCTGTTCGGCGAGCAGAACAATACGAAGCCGAGGTAAGGTGCAACAATTTCAACTAATTAGAAAACWTGAGAAATTTTTAAAAATTTCGAATTAATTTATAATTTTATTTTATGGTAATTTTTTCTTTCATTTTCTTTTTAAGTMAGTCATACAATGTAAATAGAGAAATGCAATATAAAATATTAGTCCTAGGCTAAGTTAATTGGCGAATGCTGGTATTCCTGTAATAGCACGCCCAAGAATGAGCGCATGGATGTCGTGTGTGCCTTCATACGTGTTCACAGCTTCCAAATTCATGGAATGCCGTATAACATGATATTCATCAGATATGCCGTTGCCACCAAGAACATCACGCATATTCCGGGCAATATCCAATGCTTTCCCTGAGTTATTTCGTTTGATTAGTGAAATCATTTCTGGCGTATGTAGCTTCTGATCCTTAAGCCGTCCTACTTGAAGGCATGCTTGTAAACCTAATGCTATGTCGGTTTGTGCATCAGCAAACTTCTTTTGTATCAATTGATTCGCTGCCAATGGTCGTTTGAATTGTTTCCGATCAAGTGTATATTGGCGGGCGATTTGCAAGCATGCTTCGGCCGCTCCCATGGCACCCCACGCAATKCCATAGCGTGCGTTGTTCAAGCAACCGAAAGGTCCTCTGAAGCCCTCAACATTTGGTAAGAGATTGGCTTCGGGGACATGTAAATCGTCCATTAATATCATACCGGTGGTAGATGCGCGTAGAGAAAATTTTCCTTCTATTTTTGGTGTGGATAAGCCCTTGACCGATTGTGCCCGATCCACTATGAATCCTCGCACTTTTCCATCTTCACACTTTGCCCATACGATAAGGACATCCGCTATCGGAGAGTTGGTAATCCAAGTTTTAGAGCCATTCAGAATGTATTCCTTGCTATTGCTGTCATATTTGGCCCGTGTTTCCATGCCGGCTGGATCACTACCATGGTTTGGTTCGGTTAGACCAAATGCTCCTATAAAAAATAATGATTCTTGTACTTATGTAGTTTTAATATGTACATATACATATATTGACATATGTACATATATAGTCCTTTTCGTACATACATATGTAAATTATAAAGATCTTTGCTTTATATTTGTTTGAATCACTTACCAATCAATTTGCCTTGCGCCATTCGAGGTAGATATGTTTCTTTCTGGATTGCAGAACCATAATCGAAAATTGCTCCCATCGCCAGAGAACTCTGCACGCTCAAAGCAGAGCGATAAGCCGAATCTACCCGCTCGATTTCTCTGGCCAACAAACCGTAGGCGACATTTGACACACCGGCACAGCCGTAACCATTAATTGTACAACCTAATGCTCCTAGACTGCCGATTTCCTCCATAATTTCCTTATGGAATACTTCATTGCGATTGGCAGCAGTGATGCGCGGCAGTAGGCTCGTTTCRCAGTAACTTCGAAATGCGTCACGAATGGCGATCTCCTCTTCTGTGAGCTGTGATTCTAAATTCAGTGGATCTTGCCAATTAAATTTCGGTGATGCAGTTGTGGTAGCGAATTGTTTTGCATAAACTGCTTTAGTACAGTGTTGTGATGTCGGACGAAATTTTGATAAGAGGCATCTCGCAATCATTTTGTACTTTACGATTTATATCTGTTTATAATCTTGTATCTATTATTTATGAAACTACTTGAGTATTATAATGATAACAATTTGCTTTAGATTGCTTATTTACGTATTATTAGAATAAAACCTCCTGGTTCACGCGCTCTTGTGCTACTGTTCACTAATATTAGTGTATTCCAGTATAAAAGTATTTTAGAGATCTTTGGATTAAGTTGTATTGTAATCTTTCACCTACCTGAGAATGTGGTTTTCGAAAGCTTAATCACAAGTGTAATCACACGTATGTTTATTTTATGATTCTCAATATACATACTGAGAGACAGGGAGAGCAGCAAATGAATACATATGGAAGTACGCACTTATATATACATGTATGCTATAGCAGTGATGATTACTACTTACGTTCAATATATGAATGTATGCAAAGAGATCTATGTTTTTGTTTAAAAGAGGACCATTTGCATAAGTTTTCTCCATCATTCAATTCTAATGCAACATTCAAAAATCACATTCAACTAGTTTTAAATAGACTATCTGGGATCTATAGGGTATTAATTTCATTTATTTTAATTTACAATTTTTACTTCAAATCATTAATGTCAACAACATTTCCATTATAACCGGAAAAAAAATAATTAAAGAGGCGATATTGTCTAAATGCGCTCATTGCTGTTTATCAGTTGACTTTATATGGGTGTATATGTGTAAATGCACATATGGTGTTGATCGGTCACACTATTTTCTCTYCGTGATTCGTTGTGCGTATTCTGCCCCTTTCACAATGATGTATTCTCTCCTTGGAATCATCATACTTGATACGATACTGCATATGTATTAATATTTTGTATCATATGTGTACAAATTCGATGATTTGAACAATGATAAAACTAAGCGTGTGAAATGGTAGAATGGTTGTGGAACAATTTCTTCAACTGCCATATTCTGATATATTTTTTGAAATAATTTCCGTCTGGAACATGGATAAAATATACTGCATGCCAATAAATAACATTATATATTACATATAATTTATATGAACCGAAAATATGATTTTAGCGGTATTTTATATTATTCAAAACTAATGGAGCATTAAGTATAAAGTTATACATATCAAACAAATCAGAATAACGAAACAAATTGATTTCCAGGGATATTTTCTAGCGTATTATATTCTAGAAATAGAATATAGATAACCTAGATAATGAAAAATTGAGATGCTTTGATAAAACTTGATAAAGAAATCGGCAACAATCAGGCCCACTATCCATAGAAGGTTTTTCCATATAAAATATTATTGTTCAATTTACATTATAATGTCCCAGGCCAGGATTATATAATCCAACTCTGCATGAAGCCTGAAAACGCTATAGATTACCTGCGGAAAAAAAAAACAATTGCATCCTTTTATGCTTGTTTCATATGATTTATGCCTGATAAAGCTGATTAACACATGGAACTGAAAATTTTTGAAAAAACATGAATGATCCATTTCACTAAAGATTTCTATAAATAAAWATAATAAATTTCTAAACTTTTAMTTTTAGGTGAAACGACTCCGACAACGAGTGGAGGAATTGAAGCGTGAATTAGCCAGTGCTGAGGACGAATTGGACTCGGCTGTAAATCAAGTGCGCCGCTTACAAAGGTCCAATGATGAATTGGTTGGTCAAACTGAAGGGCTGCAAGTGCAAATTCAACATTTGCAAACCAGGTTTGTCGCTTTTTAAAAAAATTTTCTGTCTGGTTTGAAGACAAAATCTGGAGGTTTTCCTTCTATAACTGGTAACTGTTAACAAATCTGTAATACTTTATAACATTTCGGATTGCTGCTTCTTCTGATGGATATATATTTCAAATTGCGAAACATTTAACACTATACTATTTAATAAACACATGTTTGAATGTCCTAATATGTGCATATGTATCATATGCGAAAACAAAATATTTAAGACGAGCACCAAGCCCTCAAATGCGCACCGTAGGCGGTGTACAGTTGCGCAATAAGATTGCCGTAGAAATTCCTAGTGAATGCTTGCCCAATATCAATGATCTACGTCAGATTTTTGATGATCAACCTGTTGGCAATCGTCATAGCCATAATGCAGCTAGCAGCTTACCGAATGGAGGTAGCACGGAAGCTGCTATACCAAAACGCTCAAGTCATACGGAACGTACTTTGATGCAGCAGACAAGCACATTTTTCGATGCGAAACCATCGCACTTGGAAGAAAATATTTTTGAGTCGAAATCGCGCAATCTGGAATTTGAGCGGGCCAAACAAAAGTTTGATAATCCACCTCATCTACAGCACCAACATCATCACCACCAGCGCGAGCAGCGTGAACGGTCATCTGGTAGATTTATTGGTAGTAGCCAGCAACAACAGCAACAGACTAGTGGTAATCGTTCTAATCTGGCACTGCCATTGAAAACGACCAACACCTCGAGTCTAGGTATGGGCGTGAGTGGGAGTGGTAGCGCCAGTTTTAATTCTAATGCGAACACAAATTCAAATCCTAACTCCTGTAAAGACGATGTAAATCGCCAATTATTTCTGGAGGATCATTCGCATTCCTCCAAGACTGGTGGTGCTGGTGGTGGTAACGTTGGTGAAGCAGTTGTAGTTGGTATAGGTGGCACTGCTAGGGCCACCAGCACTAATCAATGTGCTGGCGGCAGTTATTCACGGAACAGTATTAATTTAGATGGTCTCAAAGTGTCTGACGACGAGGTAAGCACTTCCAAAGTAGCATCAGGAGTATGCTTATAGCTTACGATGGTTTCAAACTATAATTTTTTAATTTATATGTGGAAATATGTTTGTATATATACATACATATGTAAATTCCAATTACAAGTTTGATTTGTTAAACATAATTTTTCCTTGTGCTTTTGTGTTTGCTACATTTATGTATGTATGGTAAGAGTCGGGTTTTAATGTATTACTAATTATTGTTTTCATACATATGTATCTATGCATGTGTTAAAATATGCTTCATTCTCAAAACATAAAACTATTTTTTCCCCATTCGCAGACTCCGTAATTACGGTTCGACGAGCTTATTGCTGGATGACGAAACTGAAGAAATTAGTGACGAAGGAATTTAATTTAATTAATTAATAAGTATTTACGTAAGAACATATATACATATACATATATGAAGATAAAAGTATTCCAATATTGAGTTAGTTTAAGTGAGCTTATTTTGAATATATTCTTATGAAACGATATGTCTATTCAAAGTTCCAATTTGTATATTCCATATACGCATACTAACGCGTAGATATTTTTTATTTAACAATATAATGCTCCCTTATATTTATTATACTCAATAAGCCTATTTGTACTTAAAAATGTTTTATTGATATCTATACACTACATTTACTCATAACGACATAAATATTCATTCATAGATTTAAAATAAGTACATATAAGTACAATAAGTACATATACATGCATACATATTGTGTTAAAAAAAATACATTACTTATGACAAAAGTTAGAAAGCTGTTTGAATTCTTTTTGGGCATTAAATAGTTGGTTATCATTGTTCGATAACGGTTACGTTCTCACCGTTTCTCACTCATTTTTGAAGAAATGCCACCGGCTCACGAACCATAACAAACCTTTGGTTTTTCTGGATGAAATGACAGCTCTTAAATGTCGTCAGGTTAATCTTCGTCCCAAACGCGGCATTTTGCGAAGCGAGCGTTTTCTCTTGGGAAGGTGGAGCGGCTTTAGCTCTTCTCCGACGGAGTGGAGATCTTCCTCTTCCTCTGCTTCTCCCGGCGGATACTCCTTCGAAAACTTTCATATCTGGAGTGTTTTCGTACATTCGAGCGACATGACTTAGTCAGCGTAACTGCTGTCTTTTAGTTCGCTGAACTATGTCAATGTCGTCGTATATCTCGTTAAGCTCATCGTTGAATCCACTGCGATATTCGCCGTTACCAATGCGCAAAGGACGATAAATCTTCTGCAAAACCTTTCTATCGAACACTTCTAAGGCCGACTCATCAAATTATGTCATCAAAAAAGCAATATAACTGCATTTAAGATCGTAAGTGATTGGTTTCAGTAACTTAAAATGATTATGTGAGATATATATTAACTTTCCGGTTTTATCCGTTGCTTCTTAGAGTTCGGATTTGTTTGCGTGAAGCCTTATTACATAAGTAGTCGCACAAGAAAACCATAGAAAATTATTTCTTTCAAACAATGGACTTTATTTGAATTCTATATGTTTTTAATGTTCTTTTACAATTTATTAATATAATAAATAAGGTAATTAATTTTTTATAGCTTTCATATGAAATATATTTTCCAAGTTTTAATAATAGAAGCTTTAGCATATAGCTAAAATATTTTTTGACTTAGTTAATATATTTATAATTATTACCTTTATATTTGGTTATGTCTTCTGTTTTATTCATTTGAATTACCATTAGATCTTTGAAGAGTTGCAAACATATGCCTAGACATATGCCCAACATTTTTCAATATTCTGACTTTTATATAGCAATTACTCACGTAGATTTTGAAATATTAGGTGTTAGCTGTTATAAAACACATCTGAAAGAATATCTTTCAGTTAAGACGTGTAATTCGCTTTTATATTTTAAATTTATAAACAATGTGATGATTGAAATAGTTGAAGGATCTTTTTATTTCTTTTTCAAATGCAATTTAATAAATTTCTATATGTATATTGTTATAAGAGAYACTAATAAGGCTACTTATGACTACTTTATTCATTGTCGAAATTGTTCGCTCAATTGTATGTACATATGGGTTCTTGTATGAGTTTAATAGTTTTTAAAATTAATAAAGCAAATCATAGCAAAACAGCTCCAYAAGCCGCATTTACCAAGTTTTAATGTGATCTAATTTTATGCTATACAATAATTATAATACATATTTTTACAAACCTACAAACACATTTGCGTGTATTCACAATTTTTGGCTAATTGTTTTRGGGAAATATTATACATATGCACGTGATTGA